CTCCAGCCCACGTCTGTCCCCTCGACGTAACGAAACGCACCGACTGTCGTCCTTGCACATCCCATCAACCATAGGGCCCCTTCAGTTGTATTTTGGCTTTTTTCTGCTCTACGACTTCTGCTTTTGCCTCGCTCGTCACGCCGTGGTCGCACGGCACCACTGGCCGTGTCTCGGTGCAGTCTCCACCCCAGTGCGCAGCCTGGTCATGGCTTGCATCAGCGGCGAGGGATGTCTGCAGCGCCACATCCTGAACCCTCTTCCTTCTTAGATCTTCCCTCCACCGCGCCTCTGTCCACCGAGACATTATAGATGGGGGGTGGTGGAAGATTGCAGCCTTTCACGCGTGAGAAATCCGCACCTCCGATTAGCACGGTGCGAGAGAAGTTCAACATACACTACAATATACACTACACACTGCACTATATACTACACCACTATACGGAATTGAAAACTCCGATGAGCGCGGTTCAACATACTACCACTTAGACTCTAAGTCTTAGAGTCTAAGTGGTAGTATGTTGAATCGTCTAAGTCGTAGACCAGGGGTCCTCAAACTACGGCCCGCGGGCCACATGCGGCCCGCCGAGGACATTTATCCGGCCCATGGTCACTAATTGGGCTGCGCTTGTGAGCACTAATTGGGCTGCGCTGGTGAGCACTAATTGGGCTGCGCTGGTGAGCACTCATTGGGCTGCGGTGGCGAGCACTGATTTGGCTGCGCTGGTGAGCACTGATTGAGCTGCGGCGGTGGGCACTGATTGAGCTGCGGCGGTGGGCACTCATTGGGCTGCGCTGGTGAATGGTTCAATGGGCCAATTGACTGGACTTGCCCCCCAGGCCTAAGGCTGCCAGCTCTCCCCTGGCTGCGCTTGACTGGCTCTCCCTCCCTCAGTTCCCTCACTTGCCCCTCGGCTCCACTCCCAGTGATATTCCTGTGTGCTGGGGATGTAGATCCCCAGCTCACGCACCGCTGAGTAAATGATAGAGGGGTAATAACAGAGTGATCTCTGATCTCTGGAGGGGCTGCCTGCTGTTTTCCCGTGCTGGTCAGTGACAGACAGCCGAGGAGTAGGAAACCCAATTTAAATGACAGTAAGTGCATTTATATTCTGATTGCTATTCAGTTGTATGAGGTTATATGTTGTATGTTGTGTAAGCCCCGGTTCATACTGTTGCGATCTCTGAGCAGTGCGAGTTCAGCCATATGCTTGTATGGCTGAACTTGCATTAGATTCGGAAGAAAAAAGGCACATGTGCCTTCTTTTTTCCTGCAGTGGAATCGGATCGCATGGGTCTTCTCCCCCATGCGATCAGATTCCTATGCGAGTTCGCAGATCGCACTGCGATCTGTGAACAAAACTGCAGGTGTAATTAACTTTTTAATGGCACGCGCACCAGTGTGAGCCTGGGGTAAAAGCAGGAGTTCCCCCAATCAGACAGCATTGATGGGCAGTGCAGTCTGTATGTCTCTGTGTGGGCAAAGTTATTGCTGGTATATTGTTTTTGTAGCGCTGTATATATATATATTGGTATTTTACTAATAGCAATTTTGACTCCCTAGGAAACAATGATGTCAAGAAAGAGAAAAATTGACTCGGAGTGTAGGATATTCAAAGAACAGTGGACTTATGATTACTTTTTCATGCAGTACAAGGAAAGAGCTGTGTGTCTGATATGCCAGAATATAGTGTCTGTGTTCAAAGAATACAATTTACGTCGACACTATGAAACTCAACATAAAGATAAATATGATTGTTTGGTCGGAGAAGTGAGAAAAGATAAAATATTTAAACTGAAAAATACATTAACAACTCAGCAAAATAATTTTGTGAAGCAGAAGCAGCTAAATATTTCATCACTGCGAGCAAGTTTTCAAGTTGCCAAGCTAATAGCGTGCACTGGCAAACCATTCGTGGAGGGAGAATTTGTTAAAGAATGCCTTCTTTCTGTTGCCAAAGAGATGTGTCCAGAGAAGGCCGATTTATTTAGTACAGTGAGTCTTTCAGGACCTACAATTACACGGAGGATTGAAGAAATGGGAGACAATTTGCATCAGCATTTGCAAAACTCCACAAAAAAACTTTCCTATTTTTCCTTGGCACTCGACGAAAGCAATGATGTTCGTGATTCTGCACAACTTCTAATTTTTATTCGTGGGACGAATGACTATTTCGAAGTCACAGAAGAGCTTGCTGCACTGCAAAGCATCAAAGGAACAACTACAGGAGAGGATATCTATGAAAAGGTTTGCCAAACTGTGAATGGTTTGGAGCTGAACTGGGCTAAACTAGCCAGTGTGACAACTGATGGTGCTCCTAGCATGGTGGGGTCTAAGAAAGGAGTAATTGCTCGCATTAACCAAGAGATGGACAAACATAACCATTCTCATCCAATAGCCATACACTGCCTCATCCACCAACAAGCGCTGTGTAGTAAATCACTGAAGTGGGACTCTGTTATGAAAATTGTGGTACCTTGTGTTAACTTCATTAGAGCTCATGCACTAAACCAGACAATTTCAGGAATTTCTGTCTGAGCTAAATGTTGACTATGAAGATGTTCTGTACCACACAGAAGTCCATTGGCTGAGTCGAGGGAGAGTTTTGAAACGTTTCTATGACTTACTTCCACAGATTACAGCTTTTCTGCTTTCAAAAAACAAAGAAGTACCAGAGCTCAATGATGCAGAATGGAAATGGCACCTTGCCTTTCTGACATGTAACAGAGCTACTCAACAGTTTCAATGTGTAACTTCAAGGAAAGGGGAAGCTCATCTGTGATATGCAATCACATGTCAAAGCAATTGAAGTAAAATTAGGCCTCCTCATCAAACAAGTGAAGGAGGAAAACTTCTGCCATCTCCCCTCAACTCAAAATCTGTTAGCGGAAAAACCATTGGTTGCATTCCCAAACAAAACATGTGTGGATTCACTGGAAAAATTGCAAAAGGAGTTCCAATTTAGATTTAAAGAGCTTCATCTCCATGAACAGGACATACAGCTTTTCCGTAACCCATTTTCTATTGACATTGAAAATGTGGATACAATTTACCAAATGGAACTGGCTGAACTGCAGAATTGTGACTCTCTGAAAGACGCATTCAAGTCAAGCAGCCTTCATAATTTCTATGCATCTCTCCCCTCTGAGACATATCCTCATCTCAGGAACCAGCACTTATGTCTGTGAACAGACTTTTTCCAGAATGAAACATTTGAAATCTCCAACCAGATCTAGACTAACGGATGCACACTTGCATCACTTGTTACGACTAGCAGTGACAAATACGGAACCGGACATTGACCATCTCATTAGCCAAAAGCAGGCCCATCGTTCCCATTGAAATACTGGCAAGTTTGTTGATTTAACTTTACTTGTTCTTCATTTAAAATATTGTATTTGTTCCCGTTTTGTTTCTTCACTTCAAAATAAGATATATGCAGTGTGCATAGGAATTTGTTCATAGTTTTTTTTAACTATAGTCCGGCCCTCCAACGGTCTGAGGGACAGTGAACTGGCCCCCTGTTTAAAAAGTTTGAGGACCCCTGTCTTAGACGGTTCAACATAGTACCACTTAGATGGCGCGCCCCCACCCCTCGTCCCTAACTCAGCGCGCGTCCCTAACTTTAGACGGAAATCCGCGCGTCTAAGCTCACCCCCATCCCCTCCCTGGCCACACACCACGCAAAGACAAAGGTCTCCCGCTTGGCCTTAACAGGCTGATGGGGCAAGTGCTGTTAGTGAGCACCTTTGAACGACGGCACGGTGCACGGAGGGGGTGGGTGGCCAGCACCACGCCCGGCCACTGATGTTTTCGCACCACACTGAGTACTCGTTTAAGGCTGAGTTAACCTAGGGGAGGCCCAAAACTGGTTCATATGATGGTCCTGTGTTGGTGGCCATGAGCAGGAATCGAATTCGAGTCGCCGGGTTCGTAGCACAACATGCTAACCGCTGCGCCACCACTCCCCACGCACCACACTCCACATGCCACACATTACACGCGCCACGCACTTCACGCACCCTCTGAGCTCCACACGCCCCCCCACCACCACCCCCACACCCTCTCGGTTCCCGTCCTGTACGCCCAGACGTCCCACTTCCTCTATTGGGGCGGTCATGGTGGTGTAAGAGGAGAGCTGCTTCTTTACAACCGGAGCTTCCCACACGCTCCCAGCTCACGAGCCCCCCCCCGCCCCCCGCCCCCCCAAGTAGCCCACGCACGGTGAGGCCGCGCGTGAAACAGTGGCGGCTGCTGACGACTTTGAAGTCCGAGGACGCACAGAGCCTTGCCGAGAAACGGGGCAATCTTCTTCGACCTTGTGGGGGTCACGCTCGCAACACCAGCGTGTTTGTCAGAGGCGCTTACCTGCGCGTGTGCGCGTCTGTGTGTGGACGTGTGGGGAGCGGTAGTGTCGTGGTTAGCGCGCTGCGCTATGAACTCTGCGACACGAGTTCGATTCCCGCTCACGGGAAGCATCAGTGACGATTATATGAACCGGTCCTGGGCCTCCTCTAGGTCGACTCAGCCTCAAACGAGTCCCTGGTGCGGTGTATAAACATCGCCACTAGGGAGACAAAGTCAGTCGGGCGTGGTGCTGGCCACCACCCACCCCCTCTGTCTGTTAAGGCTACACGGGGCGATTTTTGTCTTTGAAGGCGTTAGGGTGCATCTCACGAGGTGATGGCGCAGTTGGGAAAACAGACACACGGAGACGCACACAGACACTCGCAGAAGCCGACACTCGTAAAGGCGCTCACACGAACACCGCGACGTGAAGCGTGTGAGGCTCTCTGCTACCGACAGGTCACGGGGGACAGACCCTGGGCGTTGTGGGTTGGCGACTGACATACACCACGTGCGCTCCCCACCGTATCAAACACCCCCCCTCCACCTCCCGGTGTCTCTCACTCACACTGCCACTTCCCCCGCCTTGTGCGGAAACGAACGCGGTCTATGAATAGGAATCGTTCGGAGAAGTGTCGGTGTGACGTGGCCTCGCGCCCACTGCCCCATCCATACCAGTGGTCAAAACCGTGAGCCACCTCCCTCCCTACTGCCCCCCCCCGCCACTCCGCACTGATGGTGCACTAGCAGCAGCCGTGAGCTCCTCCGTGTGGAGCGCCGACTGCTTCTGATCTGTGGTTCTTGTTTTGTTCCGGTTTGCCTCTGGTTGGAAGAGAGAGATTTGGCGTGGGAAGGGCTGATGTTGCCTGGGGGGGGGGGGGGCACCGACATGGGGCTAATGGGGGCTCGAGTCAGAGTGACGGCGGTCGGGCGGTTGTGGTGACGCCGTCTCGACTCGCCCGGCGTGGGAGACAGCCGTGCGGTGCAGGTCAGTGTCGCGAGCACCAGCGTGTGTGTGTGTGCTCTCAGGCTGTGTGTGTGTGCTGTCAGGCTGTGTGTGTGTGTGTGTGCTGTCAGGCTGTGTGTGTGTGTGTGCTCTCAGGCTGTGTGTGTGTGTGCTCTCAGGCTGTGTGTTGTGCTGTCAGGCTGTGTGTGTGTGTGCTCTCAGGCTGTGTGTGTGTGCTGTCAGGCTGTGTGTGTGTGCTGTCAGGCTGTGTGTGTGTGCTGTCAGGCTGTGTGTGTGTGTGCTCTCAGGCTGTGTGTTGTGCTGTCAGGCTGTGTGTGTGTGTGCTGTCAGGCTGTGTGTGTGTGCTGTCAGGCTGTGTGTGTGTGTGTGCTGTCAGGCTGTGTGTGTGTGCTGTCAGGCTGCGTGTGTGTGTGCTCTCAGGCTGTGTGTGTGTGCTGTCAGGCTGTGTGTGTGTGTGTGTGCTGTCAGGCTGTGTGTGTGTGCTGTCAGGCTGTGTGTGTGTGTGTGCTGTCACGCTGTGTGTGTGTGCTGTCAGGTTGTGTGTGTGTGTGCTGTCAGGCTGTGTGTGTGTGCTGTCAGGCTGTGTGTGTGTGCTGTCAGGCTGTGTGTGTGAGTGTGTGCTGTCAGGCTGTGTGTGTGTGTTGTCAGGTTGTGTGTGTGTGTGCTGTCAGGCTGTGTGTGTGTGCTGTCAGGCTGTGTGTGTGAGTGTGTGCTGTCACGCTGTGTGTGTGTGTTGTCAGGTTGTGTGTGTGTGTGTGCTGTCAGGCTGTGTGTGTGTGCTGTCAGGCTGTGTGTGTGTGTGTGCTGTCAGGCTGTGTGTGTGTGCTGTCAGGCTGTGTGTGTGAGTGTGTGCTGTCAGGCTGTGTGTGTGTGTGTGCTGTCAGGCTGTGTGTGTGTGCTGTCAGGCTGTGTGTGTGTGTGTGCTGTCAGGCTGTGTGTGTGTGCTGTCAGGCTGTGTGTGTGAGTGTGTGCTGTCAGGCTGTGTGTGTGTGTGCTGTCAGGCTGTGTGTGTGTGTGCTGTCACGCTATGTGTGTGAGTGCTGTCTCGCTGTGCGTGTGCTGTCAACAGTCATCGTCATCATCATAATTCAGCAATCATCACGCACACCGCATCACTATTACCATCATCAGCATCATTATCCCTGCTGGGTCACTTAAAGTGATTATCACTTTGCGGGATATTTAAGAATAGGTTTCTACCCTTTATGTCACTAATACAGATAGATGTTAAGATGTTCAAACACCAAATAGACACCTATTGCAAGGCATCATGTCTGTATTAACCACACATACTTCTGGCAAAACATGAAAATGATCATGCTCTGATGATATATCTGCATTGTCTTTGAAACTGATAGAGCTACACCAGAGACAGCCTTCTTTATTGCCTGTTCTAACTCTTTGGTCGCTGCCATGGGAATGTGTAATTTCCACCAGTGGCCCCAGGGCCACACATGGTGTGCGTAGTTGAGGGCTTGTTGGGCCGCCTTGTGGATGCGGCTCTACCGTGTGCCGTGAGCGGCCTTCGCGGCGATGCCTCCAGCTCCGCTCCGTTTGGGTTTTTTCGCGATGGGAGGAGGAGAGCGGAGAAAACCGGAGGAAGCCCGTGGAGAGAGGAGACTACAAATACCACACGCACGAAGGCAGCGGCGTGGTCGAATTAGCACAGCGGTTGTCGCAGTATGTTGCAGCGGTGGTGGTGGCGTTGATGGTGGTGGTAGTCACAATGTTGGTGGTAGTAGCGATGATGGTGATGGTTGTAATGGTTGTGATGGTGATGATGGTGGTGGTGAAAATTGCGTGGGGTGTGGTAGCGTAGCTGTTAGCGCGCTGCGCTACGACCCCGACGACCCAAGTTCGAATCCCGCTCACGTTCCTGGACCTCCCCTAGGTCGACTCAAAATGAGTGCCTGGTGCGGTGTGTAAAAGCATCCCCTCTGGGGAGGAGAGGTGCCCGAGTCGGGGATCGAACCCAGGGGCTTCTTCCTACGAGGCGCTGCGCCTCCCTGTCGTGGTACAAGGCCGTGAGGGGTGGCAATGGCTTGGGGAGGGCATCATCCAGCAGTGGGTTGGAGCGTTGGCGATGGTGCAGATATTGGCAATCGGCGATCGCTTCAGGGGTGTTTCTCAACACTTCGACCGTTGGCGATGGGGAGGAGACACGGGCGGGGGGGAGACAAAGATAAAGATCCCCCGCGTAGCCTTTACAGACTGTCAAGTGCTGTTAGCGAGTAGCACCTATGAAGGCCGGCACGGCACACGAGGGGTTGGGTGGCCAGCACCACGCCCGGCCGCCTTTGTCTCCCCAGTGGCGAAGTTTACACATCGCACCAGGTACTGATGTTAACTCCCTCGCCTGCTATGCAGGAGATCGCGGGTTCGATCCCGATCCTGCTGTCTATTGTATATTTGGAATTTGTGTGTCTCTCTCTCGACCCGTAGTCACGTGGACTTTTCTCCGGATCCTCCGATTTGTTGTGTGGGGTGTGGTAGTGTAGTGGTTAGTGGAGTGGCAGGGTGGTAGTGGCACAGTGGTGACGCCATTCTCTCTCTTTTTTTTACGATCAGTGGAAACAAGAAGATGCTCGGTGTATTTGGCACTTTATTTCGTTCATCATTTCGTAAAATGTTTTTTTTTTAAACGGGGCTTTATGTAACCCTCGCTCGCTCGCTCTCTCGCTCTCTCTCTCTCTCGCTCTCTCACTCGCTCGCTCTCTCTCTGTCGTTCTGTCGCTCATTCTCTTGCTCACTCTCTCGTTCTGTACGTAGCCCCCCTCGCATTCTCTCTCTTTTTTTTACGATCAGTGGAAAAAAGAAGATGCTCGGTGTATTCGGCACTCTGTTTCGTTCATCATTTCGTAAAATGTGTTTTTTTTTTCTGTTCTGCAGTGAGTGAGTGGAGTTTGTATTCTCTTCCCTGTTCTGCAGTGAGTGAGTGGAGTTTGTATTCTCTCCCCTGTTCTACAGCGAGTGAGTGAAGTTTGTATTCTCTCTCCTGTTCTGCAGTGAGTGAGTGGAGTTTGTATTCTCTCTCCTGTTCTGCAGTGAGTGGAGTTTGTATTCTCTCTCCTGTTCTGCAGTGAGTGAGTGGAGTTTGTATTCTCTCCCCTGTTCTACAGTGAGTGAATGGAGTTTGTATTCTCTCCCCTGTTCTGCAGTGAGTGAGTGGAGTTTGTATTCTCTCCCCCTGTTCTGCAGTGAGTGAGTGGAGTTTGTATTCTCTCCCCCTGTTCTACAGTGAGTGAGTGGAGTTTGTATTCTCTCCCCCTGTTCTGCAGTGAGTGAGTGGAGTTTGTATTCTCCCCCCTGTTCTGCAGTGAGTGAGTGGAGTTTGTATTCTCTCCCCCTGTTCTACAGTGAGTGAGTGGAGTTTGTATTCTCTCCCCCTGTTCTACAGTGAGTGAGTGGAGTTTGTATTCTCTCCCCTGTTCTGCAGTGAGTGAGTGGAGTTTGTATTCTCTCCCCCTGTTCTGCAGTGAGTGAGTGGAGTTTGTATTCTCTCCCCTGTTCTACAGTGAGTGAGTGGAGTTTGTATTCTCTCCCCCTGTTCTACAGTGAGTGAGTGGAGTTTGTATTCTCTCTCCTGTTCTGCAGTGAGTGAGTGGAGTTTGTATTCTCTCTCCTGTTCTACAGTGAGTGAGTGGAGTTTGTATTCTCTCTCCTGTTCTACAGTGAGTGAGTGGAGTTTGTATTCTCTCTCCTGTTCTGCAGTGAGTGAGTGGAGTTTGTATTCTCTCTCCTGTTCTACAGTGAGTGAGTGGAGTTTGTATTCTCTCCCCTGTTCTGCAGTGAGTGAGTGGAGTTTGTATTCTCTCTCCTGTTCTGCAGTGAGTGGAGTTTGTATTCTCTCCCCTGTTCTACAGTGAGTGGAGTTTGTATTCTCTCCCCTGTTCTGCAGTGAGTGAGTGGAGTTTGTATTCTCTCTCCTGTTCTACAGTGAGTGGAGTTTGTATTCTCTCCCCTGTTCTGCAGTGAGTGAGTGGAGTTTGTATTCTATCTCCTTGTTCTGCAGTGAGTGAGTGGAGTTTGTATTCTCTCCCCTGTTCTGCAGGAATAACTGTTAATCGAATATAGGAATTAGATGTTAAAAGCGTGAATCTGTTCTAAAATAATCACAAATTGACCTTAACAATGTCCTGCTTTTGTTTTAAGGCTGATTACTTCCTACTCCTCTTTTCCTTTTGCCAATTCACTTTAGCAGCCATTGCAATAATTATAATTTTTTTAAAAAGTGGAAAATTAAGTCTGAGTCGCCTAGTCTGCACGAGAGGCTGTCTCCACGGCCACAACAGACAACGCGAGGCAGACGAAGCCAGTCGAGGTCTAGACGCTCATAAATGAGCGTCGCCACTTCGCTGAGCGCACGGCTCAGCCCCAGTTACGAGCGTTCGGATCGGTCGAATTGGTGCCCGTGTGCATAATGTAACACGGTGATGGTAGTCACATTTCTAACGTCAGTGGACACCATGGGGTCACCACGGGGGGCGAAACGTTCACCTAAAAACCGTTCACCGATGTCACTATTAACCGAGGGTCTACTGTACCGTACTGCGAACACTGAGCAGCACCCGTCAGGGAAACAAGAGTTGTGCCTGTTGCACCCAGCCCGTGCCAGGCTAGGTGCACTTTCAGATAACCTGAAGTGTCAAAGGCTCGCTGCTGGTACGGTCAGACCCAGGTACCATGGGCTGACTGACTGGGATGACGCCTGTGCTCTCTACTGTGCCAACTTGCTGCTTTTTAACCATCTGGTGTTGTGATGCCTTGTGACGGTCCATCGCCGTGACGCCCCGCGTCGTCGTCGTGACGCCCTGCGTCGTCGCCGTGACGCCCCGCGTCGTCGCCGTGACGCCCCGCGTCGTCGCCGTGACGCCCCGCGTCGTCGCCGTGACGCCCCGCGTCGTCGTCGTGACGCCCCGCGTCGTCGTCGTGACGCCCCGCGTCGTCGCCGTGACGCCCGGTCATCGTGACGCCCCGCGTCGTCGTCGTGACGCCCCGCGTCGTCGTCGTCGTGACGCCCCCCCTCGTCGTCGTCGTGACGCCCTGCGTCGTCGTGACGCCCCGCGTCGTCGCCGTGACGCCCCGCGTCGTCGCCGTGACGCCCCGCGTCGTCGCCGTGATGCCCCGCGTCGTCGCCGTGACGCCCCGCGTCGTCATTGTGACGCCCCGCGTCGTCGTCGCCGTGACGCGTCGTCGTCGTCGTCGTGACGCCCCCCTCGTCGTCGTCGTGACGCCCCCCTCGTCGTCGTCGTGACGCCCCCCCCTCGTCGTCGTGACGCCCCCCCTCGTCGTCGTCGTGACGCCCTGCGTCGTCGTGACGCCCCGCGTCGTCGTCATCGTGACGCCCCGCGTCGTCGTCGTCGTGACGCCCCCCCTCGTCGTCGTCGTGACGCCCCGCGTCGTCGTGACGCCCCGCGTCGTCGTCGTCGTGACGCCCCGCATCGTCGTGACGCCCCGCGTGTTGTTTCAGCTACGGGCGCCCCAACGACCTCCCGGGCTTGGCTAACGATGGCCGCCTCACGCGACGCTGTAGCTGACTCGGAGCAGCTCACGGGGCAGCAGGAGCCCGGATTCCTGCGGGACGGTGGAAAAGGTGGAGCAGGAGATGGTGGAGGAGGAGATGGTGGAGGAGGAAGTGATGGAGGAGGTGATGGAGGTGGAGGTGATGGAGGTGATGGAGGTGGAGGTGGTGGCCTCTATCGGATGACGGTGACCACGGTGGAGACGGTGAGGGTTTTCATACGGCTCACGCTCACCCCAGCTCACCCTCGCACTGATCTCGCACTGATCTGCCCGCTGATCCCCCCCTGCTGATCCCCCCCCCCCCCGCTAATCCCCCCCCCCCCGATCTCCGTTATCCCAAAGGAGCTGCTTACCACGCGGGTGTTGGTGAGAGGGGGAGGGGTCGGAGCGGATTTCCACCAGAGCGGAACGACCCGCTCCTTTGACTCCGCGTTCCCCACAGAATCACCGCTCCACCCCGGGCTCCATGCCTACTCCGGTGAGACGACTCGTACGCTTGCTAACCACTCGCTCGCTCGCCACGAGTCACTCGCTCACCACTCATACGCTCACCACCACTTGCTCATCACTCGCTCGCTCGCCACCCACTCGCTTCCCACTCACTCACCCGTTCATTTGCTCGCTACTGTATGAATAGTTGACGTTGTTGTTGTTGACGTCGTTGTTGATGAAAACGTTGTTTTTGACGTCGTCGTTGTTGTTGACGACATTGTTGTTGACGTTGTTGTTGATGCTTTCGTTGTTGTTGCTGTTGTGTTCCAGGCGCCCGCGAGGCGCTGCGCGCGTGGCTCCATGGCACGCGCCTCGCCGTGGAGCAGCATGACGGTTTCCATGGCGACGTCGCCGACACGCAGCGCCACATCGACGCGCTGCAGGTGCTGCCCCCCTCCTCTCACCCACGACCTCCGACCTCCTAGACGACCCTTGACCTGCCACGACTTCCCCCAGCCGTCCCCTGCTCCCCTGACGTCTCGCAAATGACCCCTGACCTCTGTGTATTCGCTCACATGATGTCCCCGTATCTTCGTCTCCCCATGTGTGTCTCTCTCCCCGTGTCCCCGCGTCTCCGCCGTCCTCCGCAGGCCGTGCTGGACAATCTCCCGGAGGGGCGCTCTCTGCTCGAGCACTCGGCCGTTGAGCTGGAGACGCTGGCGCTGGCCCGTGGGGGTGGGGGGGGCGCCCCCCCCCACGGCCCCCCTACCCCCGGTGCCCCGCCCCCCGTGCCGCCGGCTGCCCTGGAGGAGGCGGAGCGGACGCTGGAGGGCGACCGGCAGGCCCTGGGCCTGGTGAGCGCGCGTGCCCACGCGGCCTGCCTCGCCCTCGCCCAGCGCCTGCAGCGGTTGCACAGGTGGTTCCCTCGACGCGCCGCTCCACACTCCACTCGCTCCCAGCGCCAGAAACACACAAACAACACGCGGACAGCATGCGTACACCACGCGAACGGCACACGAACTACACACGGACACCACGGGAACAGCACGTCAACAGCACACACTCCTGGCACCAGAAACACACGTTCATTGTTTCATCAGCGGTGGTTCACCAGTAAGCCCGACTGCCGCTGACGAGACATTTGAGTCCCACTCACGGCCTTCTCTTGGCTTTCCCCCGAGCTCGACTCGGCCTTAATTGAGTACCCGGTGTGGTTCGTGCAACGTGTCGGCACCGGGGAGACAAAAGCCACCGGGCGTGGCGTCGGCCATGCCGCCCCCTCGTAAGTGCGCCGTGCCAGCCTTAACGACCGCTCGCCCGCCGGCACTTACGGCCCGACGGCGCCTCGTGGACTACACGGGGTCGACCCTTTGCCTGTGCAGGAGCGGCGAGCGGCTGCTGGAGTTTGAGCGCTGGCTCCGGGGCGTGGAGACGGCGCTGGGCCATGGAGCGGCCTCGGGGAGGCCCGGCGAGGAGAAGGAGGCCATCGCCTCCGCCATGGAGGCCCTGCTCGAAGACATCAACCAACACAGGTCTCCCGCACACACACAGACGCACAGACAACGATCCCCCGTATCGCCTTAACAGACTGTTGGGGCAAATGCTGTCGGCGAGGAGCACCTATGAAGGCCGGCACGGCACACCAGGGGGTGGGTGGCCAGCACCACGTCCATCTGCCTTTGTCTCCCCAGTGGCGATGTTTAGTATACACCGCAACCTGGCACTCATTTGCGGCTGAGTCGACCTAGGGAAGGCCCGGAACTGGTTCAGATAATCGTCACTGATGTTGGCTGTGAGCTGGAATGAAATTCAGTCACCGGGTTCAAAGAGCAACGCTCTAAGCATTACGCTGCCGCTCCCCATATACACATACACACAGACGTAGACAAAACAAACATGGACAAAGATCCCCCGTTTAGCCTCTACAGACCGTCGGGGGCAACTGCTGTTAGCGAGCACCCATTAAGCCCTGCGCGGCGCACGAGGGGTTGGGTGACCGACATCACGACCGGCAGACTTTGTCTCCCCTGTGCCAACCTGTCACCACCACCTTCATCACCATCACCACCATCATCATCATAACCATCATCATCGCCACCATCATCGACCACCACCATCATCACCATCATCACCACCACCGTCACCACCACAACCATCATCACCACCACCGTTACCACCATCATCACCACCATCATCACCACCATCATCACCACCATCATCACCACCATCATCACCACCACCACCATCATCATCACCACCATCATCATCACCACCGTCACCACCACCACTACCATCACGACTATCATCACCACCACCGTTACCACCACCGTTACCACCATCGTCACCACCATCATCACCACCACCACCATCATCACCACCATCATCACCACCACCGTCTCCACCACCGCCGTCACGATTGCGGTGTCACCGTTGCCCAGGCCGCAAATGGACGAGGTGACCGGCGCGGGCGACGACACCCCCGTGGGGGAGGCGGTGGGGGGCGGGGGGGCGGCAGCGGCGCCCCTCGCCCCCGACGCGTGTCTGCGCGGGCGCTACGACGCGGCACTGGCGGCGGCCGCGCTGCGCGCCAGGGAGGGCCGCGTGCGGGCACAGCTGGACGCGGCGTGGCGCTCTGCGCGCGCCGACCTCTCGCGCTTCTGCGAGGACGTGCGGGCACAGCTGGGCGCCGTCGACTGCGTCGTGGGCCAGCGCCACGAGCTGCACGCACGCACGCAGCTTAGCAAGGTGGGCGCCCGCTCGCCCCCGCTCGCTCACGCCCGCTCGCCCCCGCTCGCCCTTGCTCGCTCACCCCCGCTGGCCCTCGCTCGCTCGCCCCCGCTCACCTCCGCTCACTCACGCCTGCTCGCCCCCGCTCGCCCTCGCTCACTTGCCCCCGCTCACCTCCACTCACTCAGGCCCGCTCGCCCCTGCTCGCCCCTGCTCGCCCCTGCTCGCCCTCGCTCGCTTGCCCCCGCTCACCTCCGCTCACTCACGCCTGCTCGCCCCCACTCGCTTAGGCCCGCTCGCTCGCGCCCGCTAACTCGCACTCCTGTGTAGCCGATTCCCGACTCGGGTGCCTCTTTCCGTGAAGTTTGTATTGTCTCTCCCGGTCCTGCGTGGGGTTATCTGGGTTAATCTCATAGCTAAACCCACATCCACAGTGGAACTGGTATTCGCCAAACCGCATCCCCAATGCTGAAACATTCCCTGCAGATCACTCAATTGGGATCAAAGACAAAGATCCCCCGTATAGCCTGAACAGCACCAATGAGGCCCGGCACGGCACACGGGGGGAGGGTGGCCAGCAACCACCCCCGGCCGCCTTTGTCTCAGGTGCTCGAGGCCGTGTCCATCTAGGGTAGGTGGCCCAGGTGTGTTTGAGATAATCCATTGCAGGTGTTGGCCGTGAGTGGGAATCAAACTCGGGTAACGGGGGTTCGTAGCGCAGCGCGCTAACCACCACCGCACCCTCGCGCACACGCACGCCAACTCGTAGGATCGCTCGCGCGCCCGACTCGCGCGAGCGGTACGTGAGCGTCGGAGATCACGGGCAGGCCGGAGCCCCCTGCACTCACCCAGGCGGTCTCTGCCCTTCTCCCTCTCGCCCCGCGAGCCAGCGCCTGCTGGGGTGCCGCGGCGAGGGCGAGCGCCTGCTGGCGTCGCTGCTGGGCGCCGGGCGGCTGGTGCTGCGCGCGGCGCTCTGCCCCGTGGAGCGTCGCGCCGTCCAAGCGGCTCTGCACGACGAGCAGTCCGCCTGGGACGAGCTGCACACGAGCTGCGTGCACGCACACGGGTACCCCCCCTCCACTCCCTCCCCTCCCCCACCCCTCCTGGCCACAGTCCCTCTGACTGGATGGAATCTATCACGTGGCTTCTTTCACAGTAATTCAGTCACTTTATGTTGGTCTCTGCATCCCCAGCAGCTGGAGTGACTGTCTCTGTGTCTCTGTCCCCCGTGTCTCCCAGTCAGCTGGAGTGACTGTCTCTGTGTCTCTGTCCCCCGTGTCTCCCAGTCAGCTGGAGTGACAGTCTCTGTGTCTCTGTCCCCCCGTGTCTCCCAGTCAGCTGGAGTGACTGTCTCTGTGTCTCTGTCCCCCGTGTCTCCCAGTCAGCTGGAGTGACTGTCTCTGTGTCTCTGTCCCCCGTGTCTCCCAGTCAGCTGGAGTGACTGTCTCTGTGTCTCTGTCCCCCGTGTCTCCCAGTCAGCTGGAGTGACTGTCTCTGTGTCTCTGTCCACCATGTCTCCCAGTCAGCTGGAGTGACTGTCTCTGTGTCTCTGTCCCCCGTGTCTCCCAGTCAGCTGGAGTGACTGTCTCTGTGTCTCTGTCCCCCGTGTCTCCCAGTCAGCTGGAGTGACTGTCTCTGTGTCTCTGTCCCCCGTGTCTCCCAGTCAGCTGGAGTGACTGTCTCTGTGTCTCTGTCCCCCCGTGTCTCCCAGTCAGCTGGAGTGACTGTCTCTGTGTCTCTGTCCCCCGTGTCTCCCAGTCAGCTGGAGTGACTCTCTCTGTGTCTCTGTCCCCCGTGTCTCCCAGTCAGCTGGAGTGACTGTCTCTGTGTGTCTGTCCCCCGTGTCTCCCAGTCAGCTGGAGTGACTGTCTCTGTGTCTCCGTCCCCCGTGTCTCCCAGTCAGCTGGAGTGACTGTCTCTGTGTCTCTGTCCCCCGTGTCTCCCAGTCAGCTGGAGTGACTGTCTCTGTGTCTCTGTCCCCCGTGTCTCCCAGTCAGCTGGAGTGACTGTCTCTGTGTCTCTGTCCCCCGTGTCTCCCAGTCAGCTGGAGTGACTGTCTCTGTGTCTCTGTCCCCCGTGTCTCCCAGTCAGCTGGAGTGACTGTCTCTGTGTCTCTGTCCCCCGTGTCTCCCAGCCGTCTGGAGTGGCTGTACCTGCAGTGGCGGAGCTACTCGGAGCGACGCACGGCGCTGCTGCGTGCGCTGGCGGCGCACGTGAGCGCAGTCGACGCCCTGCTGCTCCCCCAGCCCAGCCTGGCCGACAAGGAGGCAGCGCTGGACAGGTGGCGCCACCCACACCCACACACACCCACACACTTCACTAAATCACCACACGCTCGCTCACTTACACACCCACACACTTCACTCAATCACCACACACCCACACACACCCACACACCCCCACACACTGCACTCTATCACCACACGCTCGCTCACTTACACACCCACACACTTCACTCAATCACCACACACTCACTCACTTACACACCCCCACACACTGCACTCAATCACCACACGCTCGCTCACTTACACACCCACACTCTGCACTCAACCACCACACGCTCGCTCACTTACACACCCACACACTTCACTCAATCACCACACGCTCACTCACTTACACACTTCACTCAATCACCACACACTCACTCACTTACACACCCACACACTGCACTCAATCACCACACACTCGCTCACTTACACACCCACACACTTCACTCAACCACCACACGCTCACTCACTTACACACCCACACACTGCACTCAATCACCACACACTCACTCACTTACACACCCACACACTTCACTCAATCACCACATGCTCACTCACTTACACACCCACACACTTCACTCAATCACCACACACTCACTCACTTACACACACTGCACTCAATCACCACACACTCACTCACTTACACACCCACACACTGCACTCAATCACCACACACTCACTCACTTACACACCCACACACTGCACTCAATCACCACACTCTCGCTCACTTACACACCCACACACTTCACTCAATCACCACACACTCGCTCACTTACACACCCACACACTGCACTCAATCACCACACTCTCGCTCACTTACACACCCACACACTTCACTCAATCACCACACGCTCACTCACTTACACACCCACACACTGCACTCAATCACCACACTCTCGCTCACTTACACACCCACACACTGCACTCAATCACCACACACTCACTCACTTACACACCCACACACTGCACTCAATCACCACACACTCACTCACTTACACACCCACACACTTCACTCAATCACCACACTCTCGCTCACTTACACACCCACACACTTCACTCAATCACCACACACTCACTCACTTACACACCCACAGACTTCACTCAACCACCACACACTCACTCACTTACACACCCACACACTGCACTCAACCACCACACACTCGCTCACTTACACACCCACACACTGCACTCAATCACCACACACTCACTCACTTACACACCCACACACTTCACTCAATCACCACACACTCACTCACTTACACACCCACACACTTCACTCAATCACCACACACTCACTCACTTACACACCCACACACTTCACTCAATCACCACACACTCGCTCACCCACACACCCACACACTTCACTCAATCACCACACACTCACTCACTTACACACCCACACACTTCACTCAACCACCACACACTCACTCACTTACACACCCACACACTTCACTCAATCACCACACACTCACTCACTTACACACCCACACACTTCACTCAATCACCACACACTCACTCACTTACACACTTACACACTGCACTCAATCACCACACACTCACTCACTTACACACCCACACACTGCACTCAACCACCACACACTCGCTCACTTACACACCCACACACTGCACTCAATCACCACACACTCACTCACTTACACACCCACACACTTCACTCAATCACCACACACTCACTCACTTACACACCCACACACTTCACTCAATCACCACACACTCGCTCACCCACACACCCACACACTTCACTCAATCACCACACACTCACTCACTTACACACCCACACACTTCACTCAACCACCACACACTCACTCACTTACACACCCACACACTTCACTCAATCACCACACACTCACTCACTTACACACCCACACACTGCTCTCAATCACACTCACTCACTCACTTACACACCCACACACTTCACTCAATCACCACACACTCACTCACTTACACACCCACACACTTCACTCAATCACCACACACTCACTCACTTACACACCCACACACTGCTCTCAATCACACTCACTCACTCACTTACACACCCACACACTTCACTCAACCACCACACACTCACTCACTTACACACCCACACACTTCACTCAATCACCACACACTCACTCACACACCCACACACTGCACTCAATCACCACACACTCACTCACTTACACACCCACACACTGCACTCAATCACCACACACTCACTCACTTACACACCCACACACTCACTCACTTACACACCCACACACTGCACTCAATCACCACCCACTCACTCACTTACACACCCACACACTGCACTCAACCACCACACACTCACTCACTTAAACACCCACACACTTCACTCAACCACCACACACTCACTCACTTACACACCCACACACTTAATTCAACCACCACACACTCGCTCACTTACACACCCACAGACTTCACTCAATCACCACACACTCACTCACTTACACACCCACACACTTCACTCAATCACCACACACTCACTCACTTACACACCCACACACTTAATTCAACCACCACACACTCGCTCACTTACACACCCACACACTTCACTCAATCACCACACACTCACTCACTTACACACCCACACACTTCATTCAACCACCACACACTCACTCACTTACACACCCACACACTGCACTCAATCACCACGCACTCGCTCACTTACACACCCACACACTTCACTCAATCACCACACACTCGCTCACTTACACACCCACACACTTCACTCAATCACCACACACTCACTCACTTACACACCCACACAATTCACTCAATCACCACACACTCGCTCACTTACACACCCACACACTTCACTCAATCACCACACACTCGCTCACTTACACACCCACACACTGCACTCAATCACCACACACTCACTCACACACTTACACACCCACACACTGCACTCAATCACCACACACTCACTCACTTACACACCCACACACTGCACTCAATCACCACACACTCACTCACTTACACACCCACACACTTCACTCAACCACCACACACTCGCTCACTTACACACCCACACACTTCACTCAATCACCACACACTCACTCACTTACACACCCACACACTGCACTCAATCACCACACACTCACTCACTTACACACCCACACACTGCACTCAATCACCACACACTCACTCACTTACACACCCACACACTGCACTCAATCACCACACTCTCGCTCACTTACACACCCACACACTTCACTCAATCACCACACACTCACTCACTTACACACCCACACACTTCACTCAATCACCACACACTCACTCACTTACACACCCACACACTGCACTCAATCACCACACACTCGCTCACTTACACACCCACACACTTTACTCAACCACCACACGCTCGGTTACTTACACACCCACACACTTCACTCAATCACCACACGCTCACTCACTTACACACCCTCAACCACTTACTCAACCGCTCATCCACCTACATTTACTCAACCAAAGACAAAGATCCCCCGTATAGCCTGACAGACTGTTGGGGCAAGTCCTGTTGTCTGTGAAGGCCGGCACGGCACACGAGGGGGTGGGTGGCCAACACCGCGCCTGACCACCTTTGTCTCCCGAGTGGTGATGTTTCCACACCGCACCAGGTCCTCATTTGAGGCTGAGTCGACCTAGCAGAGGCCCAGGACCTGTTCAAATAATCGTTTTTGATGGTGGTTTTGGCTGTGAGCGGGAATCGAACACAGGGTAGCTGGGTTCGTAGCGCAGCGCGCTAACCACTGCACCACCTCTCCCCACAACTCGCTCAACCATCCACCCACTTACACAGCCGCTCAGCCACTTACACATTCCGCTGTGTCTATCGATTGGTGTCGTGACGTTGACTGTGCTGTTTGTGGGGAGAAGTGCTACAAACCTGGCGACCCGAGTTCTATTCCTGCCCTTGACCAATAAGCAGTTGAACCGGTCTTGGGCCTCCCCTAAGCCGACTGGTGCAATGTGTAAACATCGCCACTGGGGAGACAAAGGCGGTGGGGCATGGTACTGGCCACCCGCCCCCTCGTGTGCCAAGCCGCCCTCCATAGGTGCTCCTCTCTTGTCCTGATGGTCTGTTAAGTTGTATCATGTAGGCTTCAGCCAATTAGTAAAGGTGAGTAAAGGTAAATTGTAAATGTTGTGGGTTTACTCTAGTAACTAATGGGTACATTTTGTTTACTTGACAAACCTTACTAATTGGTTGTGTCGGATGGTGACGGCTTTAACGACATATTTATATTAACGTGATCTTCCCAACAAAAACCTCTTATGGATAATAAAGGTTTGTCACGTAACCAAAACGTTCCAATTAGTGACTCCCTTCAGCACACACCGGTTGAGCGTAGGAGAGTTAAACCCCACAACATGTACAAAATTCGAGTACTGTGACGTTTCGTTGGTGATTGCGACCACCAGGTCCTGTTAAGGCAACACGGAGGTGGGCCTTTGTGATTGTGTTTGTGTGCGTGTGGGGGCGTGGGGGTGCAGGTGCCGCGAGGTGGACGGGGCGCTGCGAGCGCTGGGCCCCGCGCTCGACGAGCTGCAGGAGGCGGCACGCGCGCTGCTCGACCGCACCGAGGACGCGGAGCTGCACGGAGACGCGGAGCGCGACGCGCTCAGGGCGCCGCACCGCGACGCGGCGCAACGTGTGCAGGTGGGGGGGGCAGCCACCACGCCCCTCGGCGTGCCGTGGTGGAGGCTGAGTGCAGTGCGTGTGTGTGACTCGGTATGCTAAGTTTGTGTGGGAGGCCCCGGGGAGACAGGCATCTGTGACGTATCCTGGCCAAACCCCATTTGGCAGAGCCACGAGACTGAATCCTTACCCTCAGGGTTCCTCAAGAAATGGCAAAAAGCCACTGCGGGTGGCCACGTGGAATGTTAAAATGCTCACTGCAGAGGAGAAACTGTCACTCCTCTGTCGGGAGCTGGACTGATACCGCCTGGATCTCTGCGGTATTCAGAAGGTCCGGTGGACTGGCTCTGACTCCAACCACAATGAGGGGTGGACAGTCCTCTACTCAGAGCAGAAGACTGACAAACAACAGGGAGTGGCTCTTCTGAACAAAAGAATGAAAGGGTCCTAGAAGCATGGCGGTGAGGTGTGGGAAGCTGTAAGCCCCAGGTTATTGTGGGCTCACCTTCCCATCAACCAGAGGCGAGGAGTGGTGGTTACTTTTGCCCACACCGAAGATGAACATCAGTGGAGGGATTCGGGCAAGGCCAATGAGTCAGATATCTTCTATGACCTCATGTCACAGATGCTAAAGTGGCCCCATCGGGCTAAAGTCAACCTGTCATAATGCTGGCACCTGGGCTGGAGTGATTGGAAGGCATGGGCCAGATCAGCTCAATAACACCAGTAGGAGGCTGCTAGACTTCTGTGGAGCCCATGGGCTTGCAATTACCAACAGTGATGGTACAGCGGATGTGGACCCATATCCTTGACACCAGGACCTACTGTGGAGCTGATCTATCGACTGACCATCGGCTTGTCATCTGTAAGATGGGTCTGCCATTCTTCCACTCCGGTGGTGGTGTACACCCAGGACCCCATTCAAACCCACAGTGGCCTGGTCTCAACTAGTCGATGAAAGTTGCAAGCGAGAATTTCATCATCACTTGCACCTGAGGTTGGCATCGTACCCGCATCCTCCTGATGCCAACGGGAAATGGGTGAGGTGTAGGACTGGCTCATGTAGCTGCAATGGCTGCTTTGGGTGCACGGCCTAAGCCTCCCCAGTTACCCTGGCTGACAGATTAGGTTTTTCCGGCTGGCTGAGAAAAAGCGACAGGCCCACTCTCACTGTCTTCAGCACCCTACGTTGGAGAATGAGGTTTACCGCAGCCTTCGCTCGGAGGTTCGGAGAGCCGTGCGGCGCTGCAAGTATGGGTGGTGGTCGTGGGTTGCTAAAGATATGGAGTCTGCCTCAGCAGCCCGCGATCATAAATCACTATTTCACTCCATCAAAAAAGTAACTTGCAGCGCCACATGTATCACCATCATTAGGGGAAAAAACGGTGATCCAATCTCTGACCCCCAGGAACAGGTTTGCAGATTTGCTGAGCATTTCTGTGAGGTCCTGGGGAGGGGAAATCCCTCAGCCAGGAAAACATCATGGCACAAAGTGGGGATAACCCTGCTGAGGCTGCGGTGCCTCAAATATTGGAAGAGGTCACCCCCTGTGAGTGGCTGGCTGAGGTGCCATCTATTGAGGAAGTACTGAAGGCGATCCGGAGTCTGAGACCAGGAAAGGCACCGGGCAGAGATGATCTCCCAAGCGGAATGCTGAGGGAGGGTGGCGTTTGTGCACAGACTGCCCTATATGACATCATAACAACAGTCTGGACCACTGGATGGGTTCCGCAGGATTGGAAGGATGCCCTGGTGGTCCCCCTCTTTAAGAAGGGGGACCGCACAGACTGTAACAACTATAGGGGCATCTCACTCCTCAGTGTGCCGGGAAAGGTCCTGGCAAGGATTATTTAACATCGCCTTGCTTGGCACGCTGAGGAGAGGCTTGCGGAGCCCCAATGCGGTTTCAGGAAAGGGCGGTCCTGCACAGATGCCATATTTTCTGTCCGTCTGCTACAGCAGAGGTGTAGGGAATTCCAACAAGACCTACATCTCTGCTTTATTGACCTGGTCAAGGCCTATGATACCATCAGTAGGCCTGGGCTCTGGGTTGGTCTTCGTGCTTTCGGAGTCCCTGACCCTCTGCTCACGATCATTAAGGACCTTCATGATGGTGAGCGGGCCCGGGTAAAACTACGTGGCCGGGAGTCAGAGCCTTTCCCTGTACACCTTGGGGTGCGACAGGGATGTCCTCTGGCTCCCACATTATTTTACATCTATTTTGACCACGTAGTTTGTGAAGCCTTCAATAGCTGTACTGGGGGAATTTCCATTTGGTACAGATATAATGGGAGGCTGATTGACGCCCGGGTGCGATCAAGGGATGGCTCCCTATTGGTCAACCACGTTATGTATGCCGATGATTTGGTAATAGCTGCTCATTCAGAAGAGGAGTTGGAGACGCTGCTGCTGAGACTGGAGCGTGCCACTAAGAGGTGGGGCTCACAAATCCTTGAAAGATCTGGGCAAAGTCCCATTGGTGAGCTCCTCCGGCAGGCAAGGCTGCGTTGGCTGGGTCATGTAGCCCGCATGCCCAGCCACCGCATGCCTAAACAGCTTTTGTTCGGCCGGATCGAGGGGGCTAAACGGGCGCGGCACGGGCTAGAGAAGAGATGGAGTAATGTGGTACAGGAGGACGTGGAGCTGAGTGGACTTGCCGATGACTGGTACCAGCGGTGTCAAGATCGGCCTCTGTGGAGGAGGTTCGTGAAGGACGCTACTGGGCAGTTGGAGGCAGTCGCCCTCCAACAACAACGGAGGGCGGAGGAGCGACGCTCACAACAACGAGCGGAGCGCCGGGTGGCTAAAGCACAGCCAGTTGGTACAGTAGGGGGCACAGGTGGTGCATCAGCCAGTCATCTTGGTCATCTCAGTCAGTCGACCCGTGGCACCTGGGTCTGCCCCGTGACCTCCTGTCAGCGGGCGTTCGACACTTCACGTGGCCTCAAGATGCACATGGCCTGGCACAAGCATCGTGGTGACGTCACCGCCACTTAGTGGCGAATGGCGGTTGTTGTTGTTGTGGTGGAGGCTGAGTGCGGTGTGTGCGTGACTCAGTGTGTTGTGGAGCAGGCTGAGTGCGGTGTGTGTGTGACTCAGTGTGTTGTGGAGCAGGCTGAGTGCGGTGTGTGTGTGTGTGTGACTCAGTGTGTTGTGGAGCAGGCTGAGTGCGGTGTGTGTGTGTGACTCAGTGTACTGTGGAGCAGGCTGAGTGCGGTGTGTGTGTGACTTAGTTTGTTTTGGTGGAAGCTGAGTGCGGTGTGTGTGTGTGTGACTCAGTGTGTTGTGGAGCAGGCTGAGTGCAGTGTGTGTGTGACTCAGTGTGTCGTGGAGCAGGCTGAGTGCAGTGTGTGTGTGTGACTCAGTGTGCTGTGGAGCAGGCTGAGTGCGGTGTGTGCGTGACTCAGTGTGTCGTGGAGCAGGCTGAGTGCAGTGTGTGTGTGTGACTCAGTGTGCTGTGGAGCAGGCTGAGTGCGGTGTGTGTGTGTGACTCAGTGTGTTGTGGAGCAGGCTGAGTGTGGTGTGTGTGTGTGACTCGGCGTGTTGTGGAGCAGGCTGAGTGCGGTGTGTGTGTGTGTGTGACTCAGTGTGTTGTGGAGCAGGCTGAGTGCGGTGTGTGTGTGTGTGTGACTCAGTGTGTTGTGGAGCAGGCTGAGTGCGGTGTGTGTGTGTGTGTGACTCAGTGTGTTGTGGAGCAGGCTGAGTGCGGTGTGTGTGTGTGTGTGACTCAGTGTGTTGTGGAGCAGGCTGAGTGCGGTGTGTGTGTGTGACTCAGTGTGTTGTGGAGCAGGCTGAGTGCGGTGTGTGTGTGTGACTCAGTGTGTTGTGGAGCAGGCTGAGTGCGGTGTGTGTGTGTGACTCGGCGTGTTGTGGAGCAGGCTGAGTGCGGTGTGTGTGTGTGTGTGACTCAGTGTGTTGTGGAGCAGGCTGAGTGCGGTGTGTGTGTGTGTGTGACTCAGTGTGTTGTGGAGCAGGCTGAGTGTGGTGTGTGTGTGTGACTCGGCGTGTTGTGGAGCAGGCTGAGTGCGGTGTGTGTGTGTGACTCAGTGTGTTGTGGAGCAGGCTGAGTGTGGTGTGTGTGTGTGACTCGGCGTGTTGTGGAGCAGGCTGAGTGCGGTGTGTGTGTGTGTGACTCAGTGTGTTGTGGAGCAGGCTGAGTGTGGTGTGTGTGTGTGACTCGGCGTGTTGTGGAGCAGGCTGAGTGCGGTGTGTGTGTGTGTGACTCAGTGTGTTGTGGAGCAGGCTGAGTGCGGTGTGTGTGTGTGACTCAGTGTGTTGTGGAGCAGGCTGAGTGCGGTGTGTGTGTGACTCAGTGTGCTGTGGTGGAGGCTGAGCGCCGGGTGAGCGAGCACCGGATCTGGGTGGACTCCGAGCAGCAGCTGCAGAAGTTGGTGGAGGACGCCAGGGAGGAGCTTTCTCACCTCCCCCCTGGCACCCTCACCCTCACCACGCTCACCCCGGTGAGCAATGCACACATGACCCTACACCACGTGTGTGTCGCAGCGCTACGAACCCGGCGACCCGAGTTGGATTCCCGCTCATGGCCAACACCAGTGACGGGTTATCTCAACCAGTCCTGGGCCTAACAGCACTTGCCCCAACAGTCTGTTGAGGCTACACGGGGGGTGGGGAGGTCTACACGAGTACGAGAGTGTGTACGCAAGTGTGTGTGTACACGAGGGTGTGTATGTGAGTGAGTTTAACCAGGCTGGATTTTGTGAGGAGCTCACAAATCCTTGAAAGATCTGGGCAAAGTCCCATCGGTGAGCTCCTCCGGCAGGCAAGGCTGCGTTGGCTGGGTCATGTAGCCCGCATGCCCAGCCACTGCATGCCTAAACAGCTTTTGTTCGGCCGGATCGAAGGGGCTAAACGGGCGCGGCACGGGCTTGAGAAGAGATGGAGTGATGTGGTACAGGAAGACATGGAGCTGAGTGGACTTGCCCGATGACTGGTACCAGTGGTGTCCAGATCGGCCTCTGTGGAGGAGGCTCGTGAAGGACGCTACTGGACAGTTGGAGGCAGTCGCCCTCCAACAACAACGGAGAGCGGAGGAGCGACGCTCATAACAACAAGCGGAGTGCCGGGTGGCTAAAGCACAGCAAGTTGGCACAGTAGGGGGCACAGGTGGTGCATCAGCCACTCATCTCAGTCATCTTAGTCAGTCGACCCCTGGCACCTGGGTCTGCCCCTTGACCTCCTGCCAGCGGGCGTTCGACACTTCACGTGGCCTCAAGGTGCACATGGCCTGGCACAAGCGTCGTGGTGACGTCACCGCCACTTAGTGGCGAATGGCGGTTGTTGTTGTTGTACGTGTGTGTGTCACTGTGTGTGTGTCACTGTGTGTGTGTCACTGTGTGTGTGTCACTGTGTTTGTACGCTTTGTCTCTGTGTACCGGCGCGCACCCCCAGTCTCTGCGCGATCTGCACGAGCGCGGCAACGTGGCCGTCTGCACGGCGCGCACCTGGGGGGGGCGCGTGGGCCCAGACACGGGCTCCCCGGGGGGTCCCCTCATCACCCGTCGCCTCCACGCACTTTCCCGCGAGTGGGAGAGCCTGTGGGGCGACCCGGCCGCATCGCCCGCCCGCACCCCCTCCTCCGCCATTGCCCCCTCCTCCTCTTCGTCCGCCATTGCCCCCTCCTCCTCTTCCTCCACCGTCGCCTCCACCGGCGCCTCCACCGTTGTCTCCGTCGCCTCCACCGGCGGCTCCACCGGCGCCTTTGGAATTGTCGGCAGCTTCCGCGGCGGTGACTCGGTCGACTTGGTCGCCCGGTCCCCAATCGAGCCGGCAGCCTCGCCCGTCCGCTCCGCCGCCCCGCCGGGCAGCGGCGACATCGCCAACATCACCAACATCACCAGCATCATCTCCAGCGCCACCAACATCACCAACATTTCCAGCGCCACCAACATCTCCAGCGCCACCAACATCTCCAATATCTCCAGCACCAACACCTCCAGCACCTTCAACAGCAGCAGCAGCAGCATTGACGACAGCAGAAACCATAGCAGCAGCAAGATTGGCAGCGGCATCAGCGCCATGCAGGTAAGCGCCGTTGCGTGTTTGCACACCATTCCATTTTCAACTCGAGAGTGAAGTGTAGACCCCATGTGTGTGTGTGTGGTCACCTTGCTGCGGGAATAACTGTTCTGATGAGCCAGTGTCTTGTCAGGTGGGACAACCACAGCAAGAAGAAACTGCTGAAGTAGGCGAGAGATCTGCCGTGGCATGAGGTTATATAGTAGTGTATAGTGTAGTGTATAGTGTAGTGTATAGTAGTGTATAGTGTGTAGTGTAGTGTGTAGTGTAGTGTATAGTGTAGTGTTTAGTAGGCCTCGGCAGTAGGGGGGAGAGAGGGGGGGAGGAGGCAGGGCAGAAAGTGGACCCCGCAGTAGACCCGCAGTAGACCCCGCAGGGTCACTGGAGTAGAGTGGGCCACCGCAGTAGACCCCGCAGGGTCACTGGAGTCGAGTGGGCCACCGCAGTAGACCCCGCAGGGTCACTGGAGTAGAGTGGGCCACCGCAGTAGACCCCGCGGGGTCACTGGAGTAGAGTGGGCCACCGCAGTAGACCCCGCAGGGTCACTGGAGTAGAGTGGGCCACCGCAGTAGCACTGGAGAGGTCGGCTGCAGGGGGGGGAGAGAGAAGGGGGGGCGGAAGCAGGGCAGCACAGAGAGAGAGAGAGAAAGACACAGAGAGTCGGAAATAACAGCTGACATGGGCAGGTAAGATGGAGACATCACAGTCAGTTAAGACTTTACCTGGTTAATAATGTCCTTCCAATGATTGCTCAGTTTGTACCCATCTTCTCGGTTGAAGTTGTGTCTGTGTTTATATATCTGGATAGCCTGTGGGTTTGCAGAGTACCTTCGTCTTGGAAAAGTCATTTTCGTGTGAGCCCATTGCGTTAAAACAATGATCAGCAACGGCAGAGGTATTGGTCCTACCGTGTGTGAGATCTGCCTTGTGTTCGCGAACGCGGCCCGATGCATGTCGTTTTGTTTCCCCAATGTAACTGCTGCCGCAGCCACAACTCAGTTTGTAGACACCAGGGTATTGCATATCAGGAATCACATCCTTTACAGATGGGATCAAATCACGGATTTTGTGTACTGTGTTGAAACGAACCTAGATCTTGTGTTTGTTTAAGATTTTTGAGATATTTTTTGTAACCCCTGCTATGTATGGCAAAGTGATGTTTTTGGTTGGATCCTCAGATGGTTGTCTCCCCAGCTTTGCGGATTGTACGGTCAGAATATCCGTTCATCCTGAGGGCTTGGTGTACGTGCTCCAACTCACTGGCTAGGTGGTGCTGGTCAGAGATGCAACGGGCCCTATGGTGTAGTGTTTTGATGAGGAAATTATTCTGGGCTGGATGGTGGTAATAATAATAATAGTTCAATTTGTAACGCGCGCAAATTTGCAGATGTAGTGGCCGCAACTCAGAGGCGCGGAGCCAAGCTCAGAGTCGCTCAAAAGCATGATTGTAGAGGTGAGTTTTTAAGGCTCTCTTGAAGGAGGCGATTGAGGTGATGCTGCGAATGTGCAGAGGGATATCGTTCCAGAATGTTGGGGCTGCCACCGAGAAGCGGCGCATAGACATGACCATCCTGGATCTTGGTATCAAGAGGAGGTCGTGAGTCGCGCTGCGCAGGCATCTGGCGTGTACTGAGCTGCAAGTTGTCAATAATGAAGAAAGGTACGGCGGGCAGGCGGATATGAAGGCGTTGTGGCAGAGGCAGGCGATCTTGTATGTGACCCTACTGGCGATCGGGAGCCAGTTGAGAGCACGGAGACAAGCTAGTGAGTCGAGACGGGGATGAGTGTGGGCAATGACGACGCGTGCTAGGTTATTTTGTAGTCTTTGAAGTTTCTTTAGGTTGCCAGCAGAGGTCCGGACTAGGACGGAGTTGCAATAGTCAAGGCGAGACCCAACTATGCAACATGCCAATGTGTTGGCAATTTCAGTAGAGATGAGAGGACGTATGTGTCTAAGAGCCTTCAGGTGAAAGTTACATGAGCTGATGATATGGTTGGTTTGACGGTCGAAGGATAAAGTTGAATCTAGGATGACACCGAGGTAGCTGAAGTGGTCGGTAAACTTGATGCTGTGACCGAAGATGTGTATGTGTGTGGGGAGTGCTGCTGAATTGAGACGTTGCTTGGTACCTAACATGATGGCCACTGACTTTTTCGGATTAAGGGCTAGGTTGTGTGCAGTGAACCATTGTTGCACGGCGGTGGTACATTCCGAGAGCTTCTCGAATCCAGATGCATTGCTGGAATCGATGGCGGTGAATAGAATCGTGTCATCCGCGTATGAGTGATGCTTAACACCAAAGCTTGCAATGAGCCGGCCGATCGGGGAAGTGTAGGCTGTGAAGAGCAGGGGACCTAGAACAGAGCCCTGGGGAACCCCGCATAATGCTGTTGTTTCAGGCGGTGGACATGCCCACCCTGACTGAAGATTGCCGGTCAGAAAGGTACGAGGCTATCCACTTAAGTGCTGAGACGCATATACCGAAGTCGGATTTCAGGAGGGAAGTAAGGAGCGAATGGTTGATGGTGTCGAAGGCTGACGAAATGTCCAGACTTACAAGTGCAACAGTTGAGCCGGAATCAATGATCGTTAAGATGTCATCGAGCACTCTAGTGAGTGCTGTTTCTGTGGAATAGTTTTGACGGTAAGCTGACTGGAAGCAGCAGTAGTTTGCGGAGGAGGTGATGTGTGGTTTTAGCTGGGCGAGGGCTAGTCGTTCAAGGAGTTTAGAGAGGTTCGAGAGGTTAGTGATGGGACGATAACTAGATGGGTCATCCGGATCTAGACTTGGTTTCTTTAACAAGGGAGAAACCAGGCCATGTTTTAGGTTGGACGGAAAACACCCTGAAGAGAAGGAGGCATTTGCGATGTTCCTGATCATGATGGCGAGTTCTGGAGGACATTGCTTGAACAAGGAACCTGGGAGCACGTCGAGTGGAGATGACTTCAAATGAAGTGATTCAATTAAAGAGAAAACGTCTTTTGTAGACACAGGCTTTAGCGTAATTAGAAGAGTGTCTGGGTTAGTGCTTACAATTTTAGGTACCATGAGCGGGGTACAATGGTGCGATGTGTCGGTAGACGTGCACGAGTTTGCGACGGTGATTAGCTTGTTGGTGAAGTGAGTATTAAAAGAGGTGGCAAGTTTCAGTGAGGCAAGGGGATCGCTAAGGTGAGGGACCATGGTGCTACCAGGATGTAGAAGATCTTTGAGGGTTTTCCATAGAATGCGCGGTTTTCCGGTTGCTTTTTTGATGCGTTCTTCAATGTAGGAGCAACGTGAGACTAGGATCAGTTTGTTAGTTTTCCTGCAAGCGACTCTGTAAGCAAGTCGATCAGCAGGTAGACCACTGCGGGATGCGATACTTTCAAGGCGCCTCCTGGTTCGCTTAGCAATGATGGCATCTCTTGAGAGCCAGTGAGTGTCGTGGGAAGACTGCCTAGCGGTTCGTGATTTTAAAGGAGCTAGTTTGTCCAGCGCCACCCTCATGTCAGCTTCTAGTTGGAGAGCGCAGACGGTTGGATCCGATGATGGGGATAACATTGAAAGCGAATTTGCAAGGAGGTGACGAAAAGCAGAAAATTCGATACCCTTAAAATTACGCAAGTTGCGGGTGAATTTGATGGTGATTGGTTTAGGAAATTGGAGGGAAGAAAGTATGAGGCGGTGGTCGGAGTAACCAGTTTGGAAAACTCCCAGTGCAGTGATGCGTCGGTGCTGGTCAGGTTCCAGAACCAGGTCGAGCATGCTGTCAACATTTGTTGACGAAGCTCTGGTGGGGCCTGAGTTTGTGATGACCAGGTTATGGTAGGACAAAGTTGACTCAAGGCTTTAGATAGGCATCCGTGTGGGTGGCTTTCCTGTAGACAGAGTGTCCCAACGAGCCATCAGGTCTCTTCTCGATCAAAACATCCAGGAATGGTAGCTTGCCATATATTATTTTTCTACCTACGTGACTTTACCGAAAGAACCAAAGAGTATGGATTCCTGCAATCACGAAAGCTTCAAATCAAGATTGGCTAGGAGATGTTGACTACCTTGCCTGGTATACAGGAGGTCGTGGGTTTGATCCCAACCCTGACGCCTGCTGTCTATTTGGAGTTTGCATATTCTTTTTCTCCGGATCCTCTGATATTTCCCTCCACAACATCATGTGTTTAGAGTATTTGGCTGCTATAAATTTCCACATGATAAGCCACGTCGTTGCACTATCATTTGTGGCCAGGTCGCTTCTGAAAAAGAGCTGCATAGCTCAGTGGGCCTTACCTGGTAATATAAAAAATAGTTTAAATAGTCTTCCTGAGAGGGGTGACGGTTCCCTCTCTCCCCGTGTGCATGCGTGCATTTCCCAATCGGGTGATTTTGCAGTGTCAATTTGTCAGAATAACCGGCGTGGCCTGCCCGATGCAAACCCCCGAGGCTCTGCAATGATTAGCGGGTTGCCGTGAGCGGCCCTGAGCCGGCGCGTGCGCTGCCGCCTCCACAGGGGCCGGCGTCGGCATGGACGGCGCTCGGTGCGAGTGGCAGCGGAGTCGGAGGCAGTGGAGCTCGCGTGGAGAGAGTCCCAGCGACATCGGCAGCATCACCGGCGGTGGCAGCGGCGGCGGCAGCAGCGACGGCGACCGCGCCGGTGTGGGCATCGCACAGAAGTCCCCAGGGCCCCATGGCCCCGGCAGTGACGGCCGGAGACCTGGCCATGTGGCTGGACCATGCGGAGGCCGTGGTGGGACGCATCGCCGCCACGCAGCCCGACCTGGCTGCCAAGAGGGTGGCGCTAAGGGCGCATGAGGTGAGTGGGGGGGGGGCCCACTGCTGTCGCCACTTGTCGTCGCTCTTGAGCGGCCGTAGGAAATTCCAAATTTGCCATAGCGAGGGTCGGTTTCCACCATGGGAGAGTTTGTCACGCACGCATTTAACCTTGCCAACCAACGCTGTCTGCTCTCCCACCACCACCAAACACAAAGTTCCCCCGTATAGCCTTTAACAAACTGTTGGGGCAAGTGCTGTTAGTGAGTAGCACCTATGAAGGCCGGCACGGCACACGAGGGGGTGGGTGGCCAACACCACGCCCGACCATCTTTGTCTCCCCAGTGGTGATGTTTAACACACCGCATAGGGTACTCATTTAAAGCTGAGTCAACCTAGGGGAGGCCCGGGTCTGATTCAGATAATCGTCGCCTGGTGTTGGCCATGAGCAGGAATCGAACTTGGGTCGCTGGGTTCGTAGCGCAGCGCGCTAACCGCTACACTATTGCTCGCCACCACCAACTCTTCCTCCACCATCCTCATCCCTCTGTAATGAGAGACGAGGGGTAATGGCATAGTCACTGCTGGGTAACTAATATCCAATGAGAAGGAAGCTGTACGGGAACCATCGGGAAGGTTCCACGAGGGGGCGTGGCTAGAGGGGGAGCTTAGCTCCGCCGAGGGCAATATAAGGAGAGGCAGTGAGGGGACTCTTGGTCGGTGTGGGAAGCCTGGAGTCCGGACTACATCATCGCCTACCTCTACTCGCCACTGGCCATGTGGCGGGCTCGGCCAGCGAAGCCTTCTCTCCTCCAAGCGTGCCGCCAGCCAGCGGCGAGCGTGGAGAGAGAGAGAGAGACACACCGCGACGGTGGAAGAGGGAGAGCGCACGTTACGGCAACAGAGAGAGAGGGAAGCCATCCGGAGAGAGAGAGTGGAGCTGTGCAGTCGTTGTTAATAATAAAAGACGCCAGTCAACATTCGTCGTGGAAGTGCTTTGTTACACTTCTATTACAGGTAGGAACAACAGGTTCCACACTGCCCACCAGGGATTATTTGTCTGTCGTGCATACCACGGCCCCGCCCCACCAGAGCCCTCCCATTGGTTCGGGGGCGCCAAATACAATTATTTAATTAATGGAGCTCGGCGGGGCTTCGCCGACCAATGGGAGCGGTGGGTTGGGGTTGGTAGAGGGGGGGGGTTAGTGGTGGGGAGGGGGGGCACCACCGCGACTTGGGCCAATGAGGAGACGGGCGATGTTTAATTCACAAAATGGAACTGGGGGAGGGTGGCTCCATTGATAAAATGGAAGCCTTGAAAAGAAAAAAGCGGATTAATGGCAGCACTCAGCTCCTGTGATGGGAAAGTGGAATTTCTACGGCTGGCTAGGGGTGGCTAACCGCTGCTCTCTTGCTGACTAGCTTGCGCTGTCTGTGATATGACGTAGCCAACCGCGCTAAGCGGAGGTGCGGGTACGGTGTCCGGGCTGTGTGGTGTGGCACGGTGTGGTGTCCGGGCTGTGTGTGGTGCATGATGGTAGGGGTCATGTGGTGTGGCACGGTATGGTGGTGGCGCTGTGCGGCTGCAGGTGCTGCTCGAGGAGGCTCGGCAGTACGAGGGGGCGGCCGTGGCGCTGGGAGAGGGGGCGGCCGTGAAGGACCCCGGCGCGGACGCCCTGCGCCAGCGTTACTGGCGCTTCCGGGAGTTGCTCGAGGTGAGAGAGGCGCTTGCCGGCTCACCGCGTCGCCCATCATCCGTCGCTCAGCTCCCCACCTACCTTGATCGTCTCGTCAGCCGTGTCGCCTACGCAGCCGAGACGTGACCGGGATCACCGGACCGCTCTTGTGATTGTGGTGACCCAGGTCGGTGACCCTTCTACGTGAGACCTATGGTGGCGAGATGTTTAACTACCTCGCCTAGTATACAGGAGGTCGTGCGTTCAATCCCGACCCGGACGCCTGCTGTATATTTGGCATTTGCGTGTCTCTCTCCCCATGGTCACGTGGATTTTTCTCCGGGTCCTCTGATTTGTAACTCCGCGTTTAGAGTATTTGGCTGCTATAAATTTCCACATGATAAGCCACTTCCTTGATCGTCTGAAAAAGAGATACAGTAATCCCTTGTTAATTCGACACATATGGGCCTCTGGCCTTACCGAATTATCCAGTATTCTGAATTATGTTAAATGGCACTCCCCAGTGCCTCCTGCCCCAATAAAAAAAAAATCCAAATTTGTTTTCCAAAAATTATTTTACACAAAAGTAACACTTCCCATGAGTCACAGGCAGGGCAGGCGAAGAAGGAGGATGCGGCAGGTTCCGTGTGCTCGGTGACGGAGGTTGTGGAGGGGGGCTTAATGCACTTGGTATGCACTTACTGTACTGTGTGTTCACTGTATCACTAAATTATAACTTACACACCAAATTATAACTTAAACACCAAATTACACGAACTTAGACTTCATATTTTTTATTTAACAATTAATGTTTACTTAAAGACTACATTATATTTCACTTTTAGACGACATTACTCGCTGTCAGACGACATCAACTGATGTGGCACTTCACTGCTGACAGGTGTCTGTAGAAGAATATTTCAAGACTGAAGGCACTACACTGGAAGCTTCACTGCTGGTAGAATGTAGCTTACGCCTGGGTGCTTGTGACATGGGCTTATGTAAGTCAGAGATTTTTCCATGTTTGTAATATTGACGCCTGAGGACATCTGCCCTGACATCCCTCAAAGTAGCAATAGTGCTGGGTCCAAAGCAACATCTCTGCACTAACTCCCACCACGCGAGTCGCCACTGGGCTGTCGTTGTTTTGGTCGTGGCGCTCGCCGTCACTCCACGTGCGTGCCGGAATTGGACCGACCATTCAGTACGGCAATTCGGCTCGTACACTGTATATATGCCGAAAGCGCAGCCGTGCCGATTTATCCACAATTACGAATGATCAAATACCGAAATGATGAGGTTTTACTTATATAGCTCAGTGGACCTTACCTGGTAACATACAAAATGGTTACATTTTTTTAAAGTAAAATAGATCTTGTCTCTTGAGTTCTCACGTGGTCAAACGAGATCGTGAACCCTGACCCTGCACGCCCCTCCCCACTCTAGGCCTCCACCCAGCGTTGGCGAGAGCTCACGGCCACCCACAACGACTTCCAGCAGCGCCACTACGCCTTCCGCACGTGGCTCTCCCACGGCCGGCGCCAGTTGCAGGACACGCTGAGCCCCCAGGGGGGCGGCACGGGGGTGCGGACGCGGGCGCAGGCGGAGCTGCGGGGGGCGCTGCACGAGCGCCGCTCCGAGAAGGAGGCCGAGCTGGCGCTGCTGCTGCAGCTGGGGGCGGCCGCGGCCCAGGACACGAGCGCCGCCGGCGCCGCCAAGATCCGCGCGTGGATGCGGGAGATGAGGCAGGGGTGGGACTCGCTGTGGAGCATCCACGCGTCGTGCGAAAGGTGCCCCGCCTCCCTTCCTGCAGTGCCGCCCCCCCACCCCCCCTTCGCTGCGCTGCCGCCATCTTCTGAGTCGTGCGCAGGCTTCTAGTGAGCGGCTTGACATGAAATGGCCGTATCGGCGGTACACCGGTGCAGCATACCACACCGGTCCTCGTAAAACAGCCTAAAGTCAAGGTTAGGCCCGAACTGACGATGTCGCTGTTGCCCTCGAGTGAGCTGCAGACTCTCCATCAGAAGTTGCACTACTTAGACTCAGCAGCTGCTTTCCCACTGGAACGTGTGACACCACGAGTCGCAAGCTTTGGGTGCCACCATCCGCCAATAAATTATTCCAGAAACGAACCGAGGAACCGTCTGACCAAGTTTAGGGCACGAGGAGTCAAGTCTGCCTTTGTAACAGGGAGCAGCCAATCATCGTCAGGCATACGGCAACAGACTGAAGCTTCGTGTTCAGCCGCTCATAACGTTCATTTTCCGACTGCTTCGACATCACGTGAACCGATTTTGACGCATCACCACCATCACTACCATCACTACCATCATCACCACCACCACTCCGCAAGACTTTCTCACCGAGGTTGCGAATCGAACGAAAATAAATAATGATTGCGCAAAAATTTGATGTCATTTTTTTTAATAGACCGTGCATCACCGGTGTAATACTTCCAATACGTTCAAGTGGGGCTTTCAGAAAGCTGTTGACTCCTTGGCCCGAAAAAGTAAAAATGACGAGAGCGGCTGCACCGAGTGCATCCGTGATGAGTGCCGTCGGGCGTTGGGGCAGCGGCCGCTTGCGGGCTCCGTTGACTCGATGACGGCCTTCGGCCCGGACCGAGCCGATGGCCCCCAGACTAACCAGCCGTGGTGCTCGCCCCCACAGGTCGGAGAGAGGTCGCGAGGGAGCGGCGTGGATCGCACGCGAAGCAGAGACTGCAGCGTGCACCGCCCAGCCACAGATGGTGGGTGTCCAAGTGTGTGGGTGTCCACGTGTGTGGGTGTCCGAGTGTGTGGGTGTCCACGTGTGTGGGTGTCCGAGTGTGTGGGTGTCCATGTGTGCAGATATCCAAGTCTGCTGGTGTCCAGATGTCCAAGTGCCTTGAGTGATAAGCGATGGCCGTTTGGCACAGGAGCATTAGCTGTGTTGCAGTACGGGTCTGGGAATGCGTTGGCAGGACAGGGTAAGAAACGTGAATGTTGGTAAGAGGAAGACGTAGTGATGGGTGGGACACATGTGCAGGGTGGAGGGTGGATGGCCCAGACGAGCATTACTGCGGCACCCAAATGTCGGCGACCAGGGAAGAGAAGACCTAAAGCCAGACACGTAGGCCCAAGACTGAGAAATACCCAGACCCAGGGATTGAACTTCCCCCCTCCCAACCCACCCCGTGCCACGCGCGAGTGCAGGAGGTGGCGCGAGTGGAGGCTGAGGTCACGGCCGCACCAGAGCAAGCCAACACGGCACTGCGCTACAGGAAGGTGCGGCCAGCTCACACCGCTCACCCACCGCTCACCACCCAGCCGCTCACCCATCCACCAACCTGCCTACCTCACCTACTCCCCCATCCACCCACCCGCTCCCCCTGCTTTCCCCCTCCCTCCTTCACACCCACCACTGGTTCACCAACCCACCTGCATATGTCAACGCGAGCGCCCACTCGATCTCCCTCCCATTCACTCACCCTCCCAATAACCCACCTACCCCTGCCCGCTTCCTCCACACCGTGCCCACTGGCTGTGTGTGTGTGTGCACGTGCATGTGTGTAACCCGTGCGTGCGCGCCTGTCACGCTTCCTGTGCGTGTGGTTCACTGCTGTCCTGGAGACCACAGCGGAAGTGTGCAGCTCCATGCCGATAACCGCACCGCACATCCCACCCCTCCCCCGACCTCCGCACCCTCACCCCCAACACGTCACCCCCACCCCCGCCCGCCCCCCACGTCCCACCCCCCTCACCCTCAACCCAGATCTCGGTACACAAATCAGTTCCTCCCACCGATATTGCCGAGACCTGTGGTTGCCAACGGTGACCACGGGAATAATGACTGCCGTGCGTTCCCTAACGCTCGCCACTGTCCGTGTATCGCCCCCTAGCAGCCACCACCACGCGCCGAGTCGTCCGTGCTGACGCGCGACAAACGGGGGAGGTGAGTAACTTGCTCGCTCGCCCATTCAGCCCACTCCCACACGTGTTCACCCGCTCACTTGTGTGTGTGTGCGCGCCGACGTGTAGATCGGCAGTGCGCGCTGCCACTATGAACCCGGCACACCAGAGTTTTATTCCTGCTCGCAGCCAACACCAGTGTATAATACTTGAAACGGTCCTTCGCCTCGCCATAGGCCGACTCAGCCTTCACGGTGGTTAGGAGATGTTAACTCCCTCGCCGAGTATACAGGTCGTGAGTTCGATCCCGACCTTGACGCCTGCTGAATATTTAGAGTTTAGAGTTTGCGTGTCTCTCTCTCCCCGTGGTCGAGTGGATTTTTCTCCAGGTCCTCCTGTTTTTCCCTCCACATTTAGAATCAACATTATACGCTTCCAGCATTTGACTCCTATACAGTTGCATATGATAAGCCACTTCATTGGGCTATCATTTGTGATAGTCAGGTCGTTTCTGAAAAAGAGTTACACAGCTCAGTGGGGCCTTACCTGGTAAAATCAAATAAAACATAGTTTAGTTATAAGTTTACCTGGTGCGGTGTGTAAACATCACCACTGGGGAGACAAAAGCAGCTGGGCATGGCACTGGCCATCCACCGCTTCGTGCAGCCTGCCGGCCTTCATCGGCACTACTCCGTGAACAGCACTTGCCCCAACAGTCTGTTTGAGGCTATCGGGAGGATATTTGTCTTTGTGTGTGTGTTCGCAGCAGGTGGTGCGCGTTTGTGCGCCGCGTGCTCAAGGCGGCGGTGCCATTCCTGCTGCTGCTGCTGCTCCTGGCACTGCTCGTGCTGCTGTGCTGGATCCCGGCCGCTCAGCGCCACCACAGCTGCTCGCTCGCCAACAACCTCGCCCGCTCCTTCCAGCCCATGCTCACCTACACCAACGGGCCCCCGCCCACATAAGAGTGGGCAGACGCTCACCACTTATCTACCCAGCTGCTCACCTACCCAGTTGATCGCCTACCCAGCCGCTCACCTACCCACCTGTTCACCTGCCCAGCCGCTCACCTACCCATCGACTCGCACATCCACTTTATCTACCCACTCACCTACCCACCCACTCACCTACCCACCCACTCTATCAACCCACCTACATATTCACTCACCTACTCGCCTACTCTTGCACCTGTTATCTTCACCTTCTCACTCATCCACGCTACTGAGAATAGGGGTGAGCAGAGGGTGTGTGGTGAGGATGGAGTGAGGATGGGGATGAGGTGAGACGCATACTCACCGTTTCTTTTTCCACCAAGCTAAGGGGCAGCGCTCGACGCCCTGAGTCAGTGGTGGAAATTCCACATTCCCAGGGCAGGGACCAACGTTTTGTATAGAGCAGTCACCGTGGACTTCCCACGTGGTGCGGTACTCAATTTAACAACCCCAGACGGGTGATGACCCCCCAAGGGGGAATTGAACTTCGTGTGACCTGAGACTGAGAGTCCAGGTCACGAAGCCCAGGGGCACCTCCGCTGGCTGTTGGGCGTCTGGCTGTGTAGCCCACAGGTACTTGGTGAGCGAGAGAGAGGCGCTGGTGTCGTCACATAGAGAGGTCGTCCACGTGCCGTGCGAGTGTTTGCCGACACGTCCACGCCGTGGTGCCTCGCTGCCCAACCTGGCCCACTCACCTGCCCTCGCGGCATGGGGGGGGGGGGGGTTGTATGTATGTAGTGGAACTTGTGTATAAAAGTTATTTCACACCGTACGTAGCCAACCTTGCTAATCGGGAGTGGCGGGGGAGATCATCGTGAGATCCAGTGGGCAGCGCCAGAAAGAGTCGCAGGGCTACCAGGTCTGGCCAGGAAGGCCCAACTTGAGATTCGGCACCACCCGGGACGAGGGAGGCGTTGCTGGATAAGACCAAGATTTGTCGCAAGTCCATTGAGCGGCAGCATTTGTGAAACTCATCTGTGGAGACCCAGCGAAGGGGAACATCGGTTCGTCAAGGTGGGCGGGGGGGGTTCAATGAACCCTAGCAGGATGACCGATGTTATTACCTCTGGGTGGTGGTGGTGCGGTTTCTCTCGGGTCAGCAACTGTTTTGAGAATCGGTAACCGGTTACCAGCAGGGCGTTGGTTGGTAAATGCACCGGCCACCCTCGTTTCTCAGTCCCAAAGTGCAGGCGCAGCCGTGCAGTGCCTCTCACGCCGCTGCTGGCGGAAGGGGCCTACACAAGAGGGAACTCTGGGGAGCCGCTTTAGGAGCTCTACCCATCCCTCGAGGGTGTTTGGCCTACTCCACACTCGCCACACGTCATGGAGGGTGTATGCCCACACTTTATTCCTATCAAATTTAAGAAGCCTACGCCGGTGTTTCAACTGCCGTGTCAGATGATGGACGACAAGGCCAGGGCGCTGCTGACCACTAACCCTACAGCGAAAAGCACAAACATATATACACATTTTAACGAGCCTAGTTTGTCGGGGCTACCCTATTTCCTCTAACGTGAGCTATTGTCCTTTAAAACAATCTGCCAAACATCCCCGTGTGGCAGGACCCTCCTTACAGGGAGCTCTTGAGACTCGGTGAAGCTCACCCCCCTGGGGTCAAGGGCAGTGCTGCGGCCGCCCCTCCCACCCCGCAGCGCATTTGCGATTGTTACATCGGCGCTGCCGCGTTGAGAATTGAGGCGCCCGCTTTTGCGGGCGCTGAAGCGCCAGCGGCTTTGTCATGGCGCTCGCACTGCCAGGTGTAAGGCGCCAGATGTAAGCTGCCCGCTTCACGACTCGGGCCCCCGACTACCGGTACGTAGCAGCAGCAGCAGCCGCGCGCCGTCGCCCTCGTCGGGCGGTGTGCTTACACGTGGGTTTATTTGTATTTTTTTTCTTACGCTTTTAAGACGCCGGTGGCTATGTCAGCAATAACGTGAAATAATAAATTCTCTAACCACATTGTGTGTGACGGCTGCCCCAGGGCTGTGCTGTGACGGCTGTTCTCATTTTTGCTTGAGCTACAAAACAACCCTCGTCCTGTCGCGGTCGGTCGAGACAGAATGTCCCCACGTGTTGCGAGGCGAAGCTCTGTGTTTGTACGCGGTGGGCCCGCGAAAGCAAATATTGCGCAGCTCCTTACCGCGATCCTTTCCTCTTCGCGTGACCTCCGTTTCCACACACAGTTCAGTCGACAGCAGTGCTACCCCCACCCACTCTGCCACGCTGAGAGGAGTCGCTCGAATTTGTCTTTGCCAAATTAAACGTCGAACCAAGCATAGGGGTGCCACGGTTGCGAGATGTTAACTACCTCGCCTGCAATGCAGGAGGTTTGTAGGTTCGATCCCGACCCTGACGCCTGCTGTATGTTTCCGTGTTCTCCCCGTGGTCATGACCTGGCCACAAATGATGGCCTAAATTTCCACAATAACACATAATTATCAAAATCAACTTCAAATTAAATTTTGAATATATAAACAGTATACAATTCATTAATTTACTTATGTAACGATATTCATATTAGCTTTAATCTATACAGCTAGGCTGATCACTGTGGTGAGATCTTAATTACCTCACCTGGTATACAGGAGTTCACAGGTTCGATCCCGACCCTGACGCTGTAAATTTGGAGTTTGTATGTCTCTCCCCGTTTTTCCCTTCACATTTCAACTCAAACACAGTGCAATATCAGAGTCTTGAGAGCTCGGGGTAAGCATTTACACTATTAGATATCTTTTACCAGTGGCAAAATATAGTAGTAGGTTTTTACCCTTTTAAACTGGTACAAAACTGACACCTTTATTCAAGGCATCATGTTTTGCAATAACCACAACACAAGTAAAGCTCTCAAGACTCTGATATTGCACTGTGTTTGAGTTGTACGCCTTCTGGTGTCATCCGGTCCAACGCCAATGGGACTAGGCTCTAAAGAAAGCCGTCTCGGGTGTGGACCAATCAACTTCAAGGACAGTGCATATTATTATCATCAGAGTTGCTTATTTTTGTTTGCTTTTTTGACTACTTGTGTTGTGGTTATTGCAAACATGATGCCTTGAATAAAGGTGTCAGTTTTGTACCAGTTTAAAAGGGTAAAAACCTACTACTATGTGGAGCTGGTTGAGACTGGTGAAGAACTACGGCACAATGGGCTGTAGGATGTCCCTCAAAGTCCATATCCTTGATGCTCATCTTGATCAATTCAAAAAGAACATGGGAGCGTACTCGGAGGAGCAAGGCGAGTGCTTCCACCAGGATATACTGGACTACCAAGGACAGTATAACGAGAACATGATGAGAGACTACATTTGGGGGCTGATTCGTTAAAGTGATTTACAGTTTTAGCGTAAATCTCGAAAAACTACTCACTTCTAAATCTTTTGTAGTAATTTTTGTATTACTTTAGTATAAATACATGTTAAGTTGGATTAATGTTGTTTTTTCTGACTTTGTGAACGAAAAGACAAATTCGCCAGTTTTCTCATTGAAAATCGGTAAATTATAAAATGTCACTGTCCTGATCACAAATGCAAAGTTTGTGGGGAATAATAGGCATTTTCTATACTTTTTAGGCATAAGCAATTACGAAATAACACTTACTACCCAGGAACAAAAATTGTGTTACATAATGTAATCCGTCACTGGTCATGATGGCCGTGAGGGTGAATCGAACGTGAGTCCGCCGGGTTTGTGGCGCAGCGCGTGGACCGCTGCGCCACCGCTCCCCACACACCGGAGCTGTCGTGCGTGTCCGTGCCCCGAGACGATGCCACGCGTGGCAGGGTCGCCGGGCCGGAGGGTGCAGCGCCACCCATCACAGAGGAACTATTTTAACTTTATTATTTTATTTTACCAGGTAAGGCCCCACTGAGCTGTGTAACTCTTTTCTGATAGCGACCTGGCCATCACAAATGGTTGCTCAACCAAGTGGCTTGTCATCACGTTCAAATGTATAGCTGCCAAAATGCTCTAAACGCGTGTTTCTAGTGAGGAGTCACAGCCTAAGCCCGGCCTAGAAGTCCAACTCGAGAACATTCCGTTCAACACGGGGTAGGCTTTTGCGACAAATATTTTCAATGAGTTTTTTGTTTGTTAGATCACGTAAAAATAAATGTGTCGTTAAACCCTCCACCATCCACGACACAGACAATTCGTATGGTTGTGTCGCGTAAACAAAACGTGTCAATTAATAACTAGCTCAGCACTTATACCGGTTGTGTGTTGGAGAGTAAACCCACGACAACATTCACAACTCCGAGCGACGGGGGCGAGCCGAGGGAGAGGGTGACAGTCCCCCGGGGCTGTGCAAAAGCACCGCACCTGGGAGCGCTTGGGGCGCCCGTGGTCTGGGTCATATCCACCGGGGTCACCTCTTTCGCTTGGAGGCGGTGGCGTTGGTCTTACTGCCGCTGCTGATGCCCGTTGTGTTGAATGCGAGCCCGGGGTTCCCGTGGTTGACCGGTTGCGCAACGTTTCCTCTCGCAAGGGGACGTACATAACTAGCAGACAGCGGCCGCTGTGTTCTGGCTCTCAGCCCCGGTGTGTGCAGGCGCACGCACGCACGCACGCATGACCGTGGCATGTAACTGCGCGCGTGCGTGCGCGTGTTGCCACAGTGGGGAAGCGGTGGCGTAGCGGTTAGCGCGCCGCGCTACGAACCCGGTGAACCAAATTCGATTCCCGCTTACGGCTAACCAGTGACGATTATCGGATCCTGGGCCTCCCCTAGGTCGACTCAGCCTCAGTGAGTACCTGGTGGGGTGTGTAAAAGCATCGCCACTGGGGAGACAAAGTCGGCCGGGCGTGGTGCTGGCCACCCACCTCCTCCTCGTGTGCCGTGCCGGCCTTCATCGGTGCTCCTCGCGAACAGCACTTGGCCCCAGCAGCAGCCTGTCGAGGCGACACGGGGGGGGGGGATCTTCTTGTGTCTACGACGTCTCCTGACCAAACCGGATTTGGTGGAGCCAGGAGAATGAACCCGGCCCCTCGGGCTTCCTCCAGAAGCAGCAGAAACCCACGTGGAGGTGTTGGAATGATCGAACTCTCACTGTGGACGTTTTTTTATTAACCATTTACACTGAAAGTTACTTCACATTAAACTGAACTATCCTAATAATGCCTTTCAAATGTTATGAATGGTACCAAAAAAGCATTTGATCACCTTCCGCTTGCTATGTTTACGCATTAATCCACCTCAGATTTTTACAAAAATATTGTTAAGCGACCTCAACAACGACCTCTCCGACGCCATTCAGAGGCGTTGCTTCTGCGGCTGTCTGGAACGTTCCTCCCAATATAAGAAAGACGCTGTGGGGCTATGCACTTTTAAATCATCTACATTGACAAACTAATCTATTTGAACGCTTTCCACAAACATCTCTCTCGTAGCTCGCAACGTCGACCACCAAGACACAGACGGCATGATTTCGGAATCATCACATTTACCTACACTGGAGGGAATCCGATGAGCGATAAAGCTCTTTTTCACAGATGTCCAGTAGGGGCACGGGGTCAGAACGTGACAACAACAAACAGCACACAAAGACGACAGGAGTGCAAAGTATAGTAAAGGTAAACAAATCATTTAAAATATTTCTACACGTAAAACTAAACTTTTAGTTAGTTTACGTGTTATCTTACTAGATAAGTCCCACTGAGCTGCTATATTCGCTTATTTTTCAGAAGCGACCTGGCCACAAATGACGACCCAAATCGCCACAACTATAACATACAATTATGCATATATTATCAGTATCTATTAATCATGATTTGAAGCTTTCGTGACTGCAGGAATCCATACTCTTTGGTTCTTTCGGTAAGGTCACGTAGATAGCAGGAGAACTGCTAACGCATGGGGAGAGAGGAGAGACACCCTGACGCCTGCTAACGCAGCTCTCCTGCTGTGTTTGTCTCACCTGATGACGGTTGCTTGTGTTGCGATCGAAACGTCGTGATCTATACAATTTTCTGTCTACGTAACTTTACCGACAGAACCAAAGATAATCCATTAATCAGTTAACAATTATCATGTAACGCTATTCATATCAGTTTTACTTTGTACATCTCGGCCGATCACTGGCGAGATGTTAACTACCTCGCCTGGTATGCAAGAGGTTCTGGGGTTCGATCCCGATCCTCACCCTGACGCCTGCTGCTGTATATTTGCAGTTTGTGTGTCTCTCCTCTCTCTCCATGGTCGCGTGGATTTTTCTCCTGGTCCTCCGGGTATTCCCTCCACATTTAGAATGTCACGTTTAGAGTATTTGGCTGCTATAAATGTCCACACGATGATGAAAAGCGACTTCGTATAGCCAGGTCGCTTATAAAAAATGTATAATAAAAATTGAAAGGGTAAAACCTATTCTTAAATTTTTACTTAAAACTTTCGTGACTGCAGAAATCCATATTCTTTGGTTCTTTCGGTAAAGTCACGTAGATAGAACAATAAAGTGAATAAAAATAAAATGAAAATAAAAAATATAAAAAAAAACACTGTGGACTGTAGCCTGGTTCTTAGTCGGAGTGAGCGTACTGACAGTCTATAATGTAAACTGTAGCCTGGTTGTTAACCTCGGTGAGCGTACTGACAGTCTATAATGTAGACTGTAGCCTGGTTGTTAACTTTGGTGAGTGTACTGGCAGTATATAATGTAGACTGTAGCCTGGTTTTTAAGCTGGTGAGCGTATTGTAAATCTATAATGTAGACTGTAGCAATGGTTATTAAACTGAGTGAACGTACTGGCAGTCTATAATGTAGACTTATTCTGGTTCTTTCAGGAATAAAAATAAATAAGAATAAGAATGCAAATAAAATAAAAAACCAAAACCACGACGTTTCGATCGCAACACAAGCGGTCATTATCAGGAAAAAGGGGATTAGCATCTAAAGGCAAGCTGTTTATAAAGGTTTGGAGATGGGCGTAGCCCAAATGTTTCAGCAGTATGGGCGGGGCAGCTAATGTTC